GAGAGAGAGAGAAGCGCAGAGAAGCTCCATTGATTGGTCGGTGGCACGATGGAGCGTTGCAGCTATCCTGGGGGTATATGAACCCCGATATATATACGCTTCTCTCTTCGCCATTTCCTCTCTCGCCCCTCTCTCTTTCTTTCCCTCACTCGCTGCATCTCTCTCCCTCTTATTCGTCTCGCGTCTACCCTCGCTACGATTTCACCCTGTAGTGAAACGCAGGCGCGTCACATGGACCCAGGAACGATCAATACGAGGTTCCCCAACTAGACCTAGTCTCTCTCGTTCTCTCTCATTCATTCTATCTCTCTCTCATCCCCCCCTCTCTCTCTCTCTCTCTCTTTCCGTCTCTCGTGATTCCATCTTTACGCCAGCCTTTGCAACGTCGCGGCTAATCTTTAATATTTCGGCACTCGTCCGAGAATTCTATGCCAAACACGCGGAAAACGAAGCCGATTGTTCCAATCATTAGGGAAACCTACGGCTTCTCGCTCACCCTCACCGCTTTTCGTGCAATCTTAGTTCGAATATACAAATTGTACGCACTTAATGTTCGTAATACGCGTAGGTAAAGCAAGTTTAAACGTAATGAGGGAAGAACTCAGTCGCGGTCTTCCTTATCTCCAGCACGTTTGCACGTGCGTCACGCATCAACGTCAACGTGAAAAAATGGCTTCGGTTTTAGAAGTCGAGCGCCCCCCCCCCCCCCCCCGCCGAGATTTGTTCTCCATAAAGGAAGGTAAAGAGCCGACGCTGAATCTGGTGTTCGCAGTTTCAGTTACCTAGTTTAGCAAAAGAGAAAAGCGATATCGATCGATCTCCATCGGCTACATATCGTTTAGCACTCCCTCTCTTTGGCTCACGCACCATTGTAATCGAGGCCGTCGCGGACGGAAGTGTCCCTCTCGAGACATCCTGCTTGTCCTCGACAAGGACCCGCAGTCCCGGTCCTCGCTCCATCCCGGATCTGCTCGATGCCTCATCGTGCATCGCGAAAGTTCGGCGTCTCCTCTCTACAGCGTTATTTCAATTTGCTGTTTTTCGGTCGGTACGCCGCGGGGATCGATAAGGGGTTGGATCGGGGAAAGAGAGAGAGCGAGAGAGAGAGAGAAAGACAGAGAGACGGGATGGGAGGGCAAAGGGGGAAAGGGGCGAGACGTGTGTATGCGTATGTTTTATGCGTATACGTGTATGTATATGTGCGTATGTTGCGACATTGGTGCTCCCGGCAGTCGCTTTCTGGTGCCACGCCCAGGGTGAGAGAAAGAGCGCGGTCTGGTGCACACACAATATCGCGCCGTGCGTAAGCGTCAGCTGCTGGACGCAACCGTTCGCGGTTATGGCGGACCGAGCGACGTTAAATGCAACAACATCGTCAGGTTAATGAGCCCCGCCGCGGCTCCAGTTCCGCGTCGCACCCTTCCGAATGCGTCCCTCGCAACGCGGGATCACGCAATTGTGTGTGTGTGTTTTTTTTTCCCTCTTCACAGCGAGGGCCTTCCTGCGCGTGCAAGAATGAGACCTTGAGCACTCGTGGCGACACTTTGCGATCAGCGCGACGCACCGCAATCTTCGCGGGGATCGATAAGTGTACCGCAATTTTCTGTGCAAATCTCCGTTATTATTTACCGTACAAGTTTCTTGGTCGGTTTCGCAATTAAAATTAAATATTCGCAACGCGTACGGCTGACCGCGGCACAAGATTGCGCATTATGTGGCAATGTATGTCTGTTTAAGATTAAATTGGAAACAGCAGCGGCACTGGTTCTCGGGAGCACCACAGGGACTTCTTGGACGTGAAGGGACAACCTAAATGTGACACCGGAAGACTCCTCGACTTCGCGAGAAGAATCTCCGGCACGGAGGACGAACGTATACATAAGGATCGGCAGCCGATCGGCGTACGATCGACGTACACGGATCCGCTAGTAAATAGTTAATAATTATAACGGCAATAATAGCAACAATAATAACAAGATAATAATAACAATAATGATAAAGATTCGTGAGAATCACAGAAGTAACGAAAGTAAAGAAACAAATGAACATACCGGTTAACGATGAAAATCAGTGGTTGGAGGATGCCGATATCTGGGCGCAGAACGGAACGGCGGTGGGTTTCTACTTAATTACTTAAATTTCTCTCTATCATACGCGGTATCCCCGGTATACTTTATATACTAGTTTTCTCCCTCTTCGCTCCCTTTTCTCTCAACAAATCTCTCAACAAACTTTACGCCGCGACTCGGAGCGTGCGAACCGACGATCGCGCGATCAACGTGGAGGCCGGTTTTCGATCATCGAACACGAGTCCCCGGCATCGAAGTCCCTCGTAAACGCGAGCTCGGATGCCGGATTATTTGTGAACACTCGATAACTAGAACTCGCGACGGGAGATAAACAAATCTCGCGCGCGCGGCGAACACACCCAGTGTCTCTCTCTTTCACTCCCACCCCCGACCAGCAGGACGCACTCCTATTTGTCCTTCTCTCTATCCCTTTTCTTTTTCTCTCTCTCTCTCTCTCTTTCGTTTTGTCTTTGCTGGTGCCTCTTCTGCCGATTAAAGGATCTTCCAGCTGACGATCTCGTTGATCACGCTACCGGTTCCTCGTTAATGCGCCCAAACTCCCCTTTCTCTCCCGTGTTACGTGAGAAGATCACGCACCGTCTTACACACCGATTCGTGTCTCCGAGTTGTTAATCGCGACGCGTCAAGTTAATCAGAGGAATCGAGAAGGGCAAATGATCGAGACACCAAGAAGAGACGTTCCTTGGGGGGGCGGCAAAACGAGCTGGAGAACGTAGGATCGGGGATCGAACCAAATTATAAGATCGGAAGAACGCGGAGGGGTCGTTTCCCTATCTCTAGCCGATTTCTTCCCCGGCGAACTTATATCTTCCCGCGCGAGATCTACCCTTTCTACTTTCTCTCCGCGCGAGCTTTCTTGCGAACGGTGTCACCCGATTGGCGAGGTATCGCTCGATCGACACGTGGACGGGACAAAGCAGCAGCAACAAACTGAACTTTAGAGAACGACGACAACAACGACGACGATGACGATGAGAGCAACGGCGACGACTGTTCTTTTTTAGGACGATACCGAATCGAGTGTTTTTTTCTCTTCCTTTCTTTTTTTTTATGCCGAATTGAAGGGTCAGAAATCAGGAGATATGCAAGCAAATAGTAAGAATGTTGCGGGTATAACGGTGTCTACAACGCAATGCCTTTATGTGGTGCGGTAACTAAACTGACGAGGCTGAGTCCCGATACCCGACGGCTGCACCCTCTGGATGCCGCCCCCCCACCGTCTCTCGACTCGTCTCGGGGGTGGGATAGACTCGGGGCGAAAAGAATCGCGAAAAACCCTCGGCCGAGGGAGATTGGCGCCGATACACGCAGACGCCGTCGTCGCCGGTGAAAGGCGAAGAAGAGACCGGGAGCAGCGCGGGAGAAGAGGCCGGGAGGGATACGATGGCGGAAGAGGTCCGGGGCGGTGGCAGGGGCGGCGAGGAGTCGGCGACGCCGGGAAAGGGGTGGAAAGTCGCGCAGGCGTGATCGGCGGCCTGCACCCTCCGCATACCGCCGGAGATTGGGTGGTTGGTTGGCTGGCTGGCTGCTCGATTCTGTGTGCGTTGCCCCGTTGCACATATTTCCAAACATCGAACGCGCATCGCGGCGCAGCCATGGCGAGATTTTTTCAGTCATTATGCGTACGAGACATTCCCATGATAAATGATGCCCGGCCGGGAGGGAGAGGGGGAGTTGAGGGCCCTATTGATTAAAACGATCGTCCCGGGAGTTACAGGAAACTACCGCTCTCGCATCGTCCGTTGCGCGACGTAGGTGCAGTTACAACGATGTCCCGTCAATTGGCTCGGCTCGACGCTTCCCGAAATGATCCTCGGTCGCACGTCCTTAGGAATCAATAGACCTAGCGGCATTTCCAGCATCGTGAGTCTTAAATTTAGGTACTTGCTACAGGACGCGTTTCGAACAGCTTCATGCTAGACACTTTAATATTTCATATGTAATTAACGCACTGAGAGAGAAGGAAAACGATTAGCTCTAAGTTCCTGATAAAGTGTATACGAACAATCTAGAAATTGAAAGAATTCAAACATCACGATCGGGTTATTTATAGATCGATCGATAATTATACGGAAAAATATGGGCCGACGTAGAAACGGGACTCTACCGTCGCTCTCACCCTTATATAAGCGAACGATATTTTACCCGTCTCCAACATCTCCGTTGTGAGAGTGCAAGGGCTGGCGAGAAGGGTGTATCATATATGTGAGTGAAAAATATGAGAAAACTATGAAAAACGGTAACTGGAAAGAGATTGATAAGATTTACGCGGGTGTTGGTTTGCGAACGTGAAAGTACAAAGATGTAAAAGAAACTAAGAGGAGAGAGAATTTCGGTCGCTAGGACACTAAGTGGCAGCTTTCGAGCTACTGTGCCCGGTGGATTAAAAGCGACGGATTGAAAAAGAGGGCGAACAGGGCGAGATGTTAGAGAAGCGCGGAAGAGTGCGTGCGGTTTTAGAGCGCGAGCTGGTATCTGTTAACTGTAGCATCCGTCACACGGACCGATCGATCGAGCTACATTACGACGGCCGATCTTCGCGGGAAGCTGGTATGATTAATATCATGAGTGCATACGAACTTTTGAACAACCGTACATCGCCTCGATTATCGAGGGGGGGGGGGGGGGGGAGTGGAGGCCAAAGAGAAAGGGGAGAGAGGCATAAAGAGACGAACGGGGTTGAGGGTGAGAGCAGTAGTCGTCATAAATACGCACGCGCCAAATAGGGTTCGTGCAATGGAGGGGTTGATGAAGGACTGGATGGCGCAAGCGCCGGACAGAGGGTGTAAAAGCTCGTCGGGAGTGCCCGTTCCCTCGGCAAATGGCTTTTCGGTAACGCGAACGCGGCCAAATTTCATCATACAGCGAATTCCATATTCCATTTGATAAAATACACTGCCTCTAACCCCACCTCCCTCTCTCTCTCTCTCTCTCTCTCCCCCCCCCTGCCTCCCCCTGTCTCTCCCTGTCTCTCTCGTTGAGATTTTGTCGCCCATAGTAATGCAAAGTTCAATTTAGTTGTGGGAAATTTTTGCACAAGATATTGTGAAGAGTCTTTGCTATTTGGTCAATAAGAATTGTGCGCAAAACATTGAAAAAGTTGCGCAAGATTGAATTTTATCATGTAGATGCAACGCACCTCACTTTACAGGGCTATACAAAACGAACCTACTTATGCAAAACGAGTTGAAACAGAAATATCGTGATATTCCTCTTTGAAGTAAGCCTACTTCGTTATATTTATATTAAGATCTTTACGCACTATTAGTGTTCAACGGCAGAATAAATAGTTCGTACACCGTGAGAGAGTTTAAAAAGTGGACGTAGCGAACGGCGAACGCGTTTATCTCATGGCGGCGATCTCATCTGCGATCAGGGACCATGAACGATAACGCGAATATATGAGGCCTATCGATCGCTTCTTTTTTATACACACACGCGCGTGGGTCTGTTTGCTTCTGTATCGTTAGGCGTTCGTTAACGAACCTCGTGACGAACGATTTCTTAATGAGTCACGTCATGGATGAAGGCAAGGATCGATAGATATTGGACACGATGATATATACATAATTGGTTTCGTTTGCGCTACATTTCGATATTACGAGATACAAGAGATAGGCGAACGGTGTGGAGCAAAGAAGTCGCCGTTGTGGAACAAAGGGAATAAGAGAGAAAGAGTCATTGGGGAGAGGCGAAAAGGGACAAGGGAGACAAGGGGTGTAATCTAATGGTAAATAGCACGTATGCATATAAGGGTCAGTCGAAGTGCGCCAGTGGCGTAGGAGATTGAATATTGCTTATCAACGTACGGGTACACGGAGAGAATTTTCTCTTAAAATTTATCCTAAAAGTCATGTAATCGTGGGACAAGACGGCATTTTCATCAACTTTACGAGCGTTTTTTGAAATATTACCATACGTTCTACCAGTAAAATGTATAATTACTAGTAGAATGTGTATGGTAAAATTTCGAAAAACTCTCACACAGTTCTTCAAAATGCCGTGTCCCACGATTACATAATTTTCAGGGTAAACTTTAAGAGAAAATTCTCTCCGTATACTTTTACTATAAGGCTGGTTGTATTATGTAACAAAATTAATGTAGAGAAGCGTATAGTCCGGTCTTAATGCCAATAAGAATTTTAGTTTAATAACGAGAGAGCAAACAAATACTGTTATATGTAACATTCTTTAAATTACGTTCTTCGTTGTTGCTACCGCAGCAGCGATGATATATGATATTCTACAACACGTTATGCAATATCACAATAAATTATACGTAACAACGATGTTATTATAATAATAATGTAATATTATTGCGTATAAATAGAAGCTATTATGACATATTACATAACGCGCGTGCGTTTACAGAAACGTGCAAGAAACCTGATAGCAAATTTAATATTTAAATTACTTTTTCGCGTGTATCGTCCTCTATCGTATTGAGTATCTGAAATTCATACGTATAATACCTGTGATACTAACGATAAGTCGTAGAAGAAAGATAAGAGGAAAAGATAACTATCATAAGTACACCAGTTTCGGCGTATTTATTATACAAACGTTGGCTAAAAATAACGAATCACAACGAAGAAAGTATTCTCGCCCCATGTATTCCCTTTCAATCCATCTTGCATCTTATTTATAGTTTCTAGAGAATAATTTTGCAAACACGAATCGTCGTCGAGGTCGACGTCGCAACGGTGACGTCGACGTCGGCGTCCAAGTGAGCGAAAAGTACCGCCGAGTCGCCGGCGTAACCTCTCTCGCAAAATTCGCCGATCGCTGACGATCGATCGGCGCGGGTCGTGCCCACTCCACGTCTTAATCAGCAGAGGAGTCTAGACACCTCTTCCAGAGAAGGTCGCATAAATTCCGCGAGAGGACGGCGCAGCGGATAATTTACGGGGGCGCTCGTCCTCTTTGTGCTCCCGAGTGTCCTGGGAAGGCCGGCGCGGCGCGCCCATTCCACCCCGGGCGACGGCCGCGCCTCCTTCCTACGCCACTGCGAGGGTAGACCGAGGGGTGCCAGCGTCAGACGGAGCCGCCGGCCGGGGTTCGGGGGGATGCTCGGGGGGGGCACCGGGGGGTCTTTCGAATATCGATCTCCCCGCGTTCTCCCAGTCATTCACTCTCTCTCGTGCAGTTCCACGCTCGTCCCTCTTCCCACTCGTTTCGCGCTCCCAGTACTCCCACAGAATAGTGGAAGGGGTGCGGAGCGGAGGGGGGAGCCAAAAGGGGGGCTTCATCCGGAGGTCCCAGCTAAAGCCCGGGGGAGGAGGGCATTCACCAGGGAACGCGCCGCCACCAACTACCGCCACTACCACCATCACCACCACCACTAACCGACATCCAGAAAAATATCCTCCGAGATCGGAGGGAAATTAGTTTACCGGATCCTGCAGCGCGGCGTTTGTACGGAATTATTCCCCAACCGCCTTTTCACTCCTCTCTGTGTCATTTAATTTGCATCCTATCTTTGGAAATTCGTTACACTGTAGCCTCCTTCGGCTTTTGCGACTATCTGGCTTTGTAGGGGAAGCGAGACCGAGAGAATGGATTCTCTTGCAAAATCAGCTGGCGACGTTTAAAACTTGCTTTCCGCGAGTCTCCTCGTATGAATATCCGGTATCGCTATACGGAGCACAATATATTATGCTACGATTATTATCAATCATTTTGTATAGGCATCCGTTTTTCTATCACGATCGGTATATCAAAGTTGTGCCGGTATCAGCAGATACATCATCGTTGTGCTCGCACTTGTCTTATACGCGGCATTACGTCATCCCTTGTACACTCGCCGTGCGTCTCGATCCATTTATCGTACCGACCTCAAAATTCGCTGCACGGCGATGACAGAGGGGTTGGTTAAGTGGCCAGCGTCGTCATCTTGCTCGTGAAAATTGCCGTCTGCGGAAATGTCGTCCCGAGGCGAGTAGAGTCGCTGCTCGTCCGCCCCTCCCGCTTCCACCATTTTCGCCCTCGGGTTATCATCCCACTCCCGAAGCGGAGTCTGGCCAGACGTAGGTAGGTGTTCGCATACCTCATGGCGGTGTTGCACGCGCATCTACTATCTAGGATGCCCGAGACATTGCGTGAATCTAGGAATAAGACCTGTATGCGTGCCGCAGAGGTCTGTATGTACATGTACATGTATATATAATTACGTATCCACCCGCCTCCCTCGTCTCTTCTCCCTGGGAATTACATAAGCACGCCAAGGAGCGAAATTGCGGGGCAAACGGACGATCCTTGGGTCTACTACGTAGTCGGAAATGACGTGACTGGCTGCTAACTAGCGTCTGATTTAACGGCTACGTGAAATCGTTTAATTTTCAGCGCTGAGTAACGACCTGATTAACTCTGCGATTGGACACTTGGAGCAACAATTACGAAGGGCAAAGCCCTTGTATCGATCCTCGGGAATCTTATTTCGGAGAATTAATTTCCAATTGGCTCGTGTTATCGGCTGTTCGGAAAATTCGCCGCCGCTATTTGAAAATCAAATAACGACGGTCACGCGATAAATCACACCTACGTGGAGATTCGCGTGCCGAATACAATATTCGTTGCTTAAAAGATGAGGCTGAGCTAAGAATGTCGCCCTTTGAATATTCAGACAGTTTGCGCTCCAAAATTATTCGCAACAAGACAACGCCGCTTCGCGGGGGAATAAAATTCGGGTAGTTACGTCAGCATCGTACTATAAATAAAAAGAGTTCATTGCGCCGCAGGTTCCATCCGCTCCGAGACAGACCCCGGGTCTACTGTCGGCGTTTCTCTTTCTCTAGACAGGTTCGTGTCATCTAGCAGCTTATCTGGAACGGCCGTGCCGTGCAAGATAACTGCGCTGCCCGAGACGCGTATTGCATATCGATTCAACAAACCAAGGAAACCAGGATGGACTCGGCGACGGTGTCGCCCAGTGCGCAAAGTCGCTGCTCGCGTGGTCCAGTCCGGAACAAGTGCCGCCGTGTCCCGCCGACATGTCCGAAGATACCGGTACGTATTGTACGCGCTCTTTGTACGCCGCTTTCAAAGCAGGGCTCGCGGGACCCGTTCGTGACTGCACGCGCTATCGCCGACCTGTCACGCGTCCGTACACGTTCTCGAAGGATCTCGCTCGCGATCCGTCAGATCGATCGGATCCACTTTGCGAGGGGTCACGCGAGGATCATCACGCGCTCGCTGATTGCACCCCCTGACATTTCCCATCTCTCGCACTGGCTTGAAACTTAGCCCGGGAGAACGTAGACGAACACCGACACAGCTTGTCAATCACTCGGCCGCGGAGATCGAGGTAGTTCTAAAGACGTAACAATTGACGGCTTTTTCGAGCTGCTTCGCGCACGCGAAATCGAAAGCGCGGCTGAAAGTTCGTTAGTTAACTGAACGCGCTTTACGTGCTGATGAGGCATATACGCGAGTCATTCGAGGGAATTGCGGAATTGTATCGCGAAGTCATTTCCGGCGAGCGCATAGAGATTTTTTTCTCCTATTATTGTTTTCAATTTTTCTTCGCCTCGCGACATCTGTCATTTCAAATCGGTTGCTGGTTATTGCTTCCGGAGATGCCTGATTGTATCTGGTAGATTTACGTTTGTGTTATCTCCTGAAATTTTAACTTAATGCACCTCTTTATTAAATTTAATATCTGTTTAAGTTTAAGCGACCGCGATGAGTTATTGTCACGTGAAAAGTGATTTGCATCTTACAACTAGTGAAGTAAAATAATTTAATAGTCTGTGAATTTCGCGAATATTTCCAACGTCTTATCGATTTCAACTCACGACCGCGTGTCGACGTTGTTATCGTGGCAGCAATTAAAATAGAACGGAGTGCAAGAGACGGTCTTTGTTATTTTTCCCGAGCGTGTAACAGAGATTTAGCCGGAAATTTAGCGTGAGTTTGCCAATGGTATATTACTGCGCAACTTTCTTTCTCTCTCTCTCTCTCTTATTCTTCCCCGTTCTCCGCCGTTTCCCGAGCTTTTTTTCCGTGCTTTCTATTTTTTTCCACTTTTAATTGCACTTCCCGGGCGCCACTCCCGTCGCTATCCGATTTTCCGTCCCAAGAATTTCGCAATATTTCTTCAACGTAATCGCAGCGAGATGTAATAGTCGTTTACTTTGGAAAATTAAAAAATTCTTAAAAGAATGTTGCATTACCGTTGATATCAAACTTAATTTATGTGATAGTTCTGCAAATAACTCGGAATAATAAATATTATGGATAGCGTAATTAAACTGAATTCCTTAATTTTCCGCACAAGATAGAGCGGGCGCTTAATTAAAAGCGCCATTTAATCTTTTAAATATATTCCATCGTATGAGAATGCAAAAATGATTTCCTAATTCAATCGCAAATATCACAGAGTTTAAACACTCAAATTAATCAATATGATCGATAGAGCAAGATTCATTTATCGATCTATCAATTATATCCCTTCATTAAAGCCCATTATTCTACGAGGCATTGATTACTCTGGGTAAGATTTATATCTATTTAATTAATCGTCGACCGGACGAATAAATTGAAGCAAACTTTGTCCTAAAATATCATAAACAGTCGACGCTTTACGCCAGTTCGAACACCATACGTGGCACTGAGAGATATTACTATGAATAGACTATGGCTAGACGGAGCAGGCAACGTTTCTTGAAAAGACAAAGTGCAACTCTTTTGTTTCCGCGCGTTGAATCATTGACGATCCAACTATACGTATCTTGATGTAAAGTTAGTATACCCTTCTTGCGTGCGACGGAGGACTATAGTGTCTTTAGCCGTAAAATGCGACATTTGCGTCGTCGAGTAGCAGATGCGATAGAAATAGATATCGAATGATCTAGATTTAGATCTGTATTGCCACATCGGCTTGCGATAAGGGTTACCATGATAAAAAGCGCGATAACGACCGGTTTCGTGAAATTCTATCCCGTGCGATATTACAGCGACGGCGGAAACATCACTTCATCGTCTATTCGTTATAATTGCCGCTTCTGCGTAAGACGTTATCTTCTTGCCCGATCTATAAATATTTGCAGAGTAATTCTATTACTTTTACTTGCGACGGAAATAATCAACGTACTTTAATCGTATACACTTATAGACAGCTGATCTACGGCATCTTTCTTCATATAAATAATTCAACTGAATTGTGCAAGCAGAGCTCAATAATAATAACAACGTTTAATAACAGTTTTGATTTTCATTTTATTACAGCCGATGAAAAGGCCGACAAATACCCAGTAAATGTAATTAAATTAAATAATACGTACGGTTTTTCCTGTATCTTATTCACACTAATCTAAGTAAAGATATTTACGCACAACAACCTGCGTTTGGCGCACATTGCCTATTTTAATTTTTTGATAAATTAAATAAATTGTATGACATAAAGAGATTTGGTCTTGTGTAACATTCGTGAAAAGTTGCATTCGATAATTTGCATATAACGTGATAATGAAAGATACATATGCCACGGGTAAGCGTGACGATTCCCGGAATACAAGTTACCCACAGTTAATCGACCTCTTGATAAGGGATGACGTGAGTATCGCTATATCCCGGCCAACTTCGTAATTCGTGTAAAACTATCGCGACTTTCGCCATGCCTCTCAATCACGCCCCGCTCTAATCTCGGCATCTGTTGAATCGAATCAATCAGAGGCCGACTTCCGAGCTCGCCCCGAATAAGCCCAGATCTCGTGACCGCAAACGAGTTTTCTCGGTTTAGCCCGGGCCTCGATGGCGAACGAGGAAGGAATCGGACTGTCGAGAGATCGCACGTACGAGATCCTCGACGCCTGACAGCCACGCGAATTATTGCCGCGAGCCGATTGCCGCGGATTTCGTTCACGCGAGATCGCGCACCAGGTGAGATTCCGCGAAGGCGGACGCGAGCGTGCAGCGAAATCGCGAGGCTCCGCTTTTGCCACGTAGGCGGTAACACGTACCACGATGTAGAGCCGGTTTCATCAAGCCGTCAGTCCCTCATTGTCTTCCGTCCGATAGGTCAGAGCATCGTTTGCTCTACGCCTCGCCCTCTCGTTCAATCGTCTTAAAGATCGCCGATCGCCGATCACCGATCGTCGTTCACCGATAGTGTCGGATAATGTCACCCTGTCGATAGATCGTTCCGTGTCGTTTGGAGAGTCATGGCTTTCTCTTGCGAGGGACGAGACCCCCTGGAGCACACCAGTCTTTATCAGCGCGCCGGTCAGATACCCTTTATCATTCCACTTCGCGAGTCACACGGATAAACCAACATTTCATCGCTGCATCCAATTGTCTTGAAATCAAGAATCAATCGTGATGCAATAACAACAACATTAACGAAGTTGCCGGTTTTTTTACGCGACAAAATTATGACGATTTCAAGATCGAGTGTACATGTCTTCGAAAAAGGTTTATTTTTCTTGCGTTTAACCACTTTTCGGGACTGCTTCTTGCAGACAGCGAGGACAGCGATGCCGAGGGTGGCCTGGGCAATGTAAACAAGATGGTGATGCGACCACCTGGCCACAGCGGTAAAGCGAAAAAGGGTCACATTTGCTTCGACGCTACCTTTGAGACCGGAAATCTCGGCAGGGTGGACTTGATCTCCGAATTCGAGTATGATCTCTTTATTAGGCCTGACACCTGTGGTCCCAGATTACGCCTGTGGTTTAACTTCACCGTAGACAACGTGAAGGCGGATCAACGGGTGATCTTCAACATCGTCAACATCTCCAAGAGCGCCAATCTCTTCCGACAGGGAATGACGCCGTTAGTGAAGAGCGGCGCTAGACCGAAATGGCAGAGGATACCGAAAGAACAGGTGAAGTTTCGTAAAGTCGGCGATTGTTATTTAAATCCCTGTTTCTATGGATTTGAAGTTTGATCGCGTCGCATTTTCAGTTTCGAACATGTAGGCGGAAAAAATGCCTTCGTCTTCTACGATTACAATTTTTAAGTTTATCAGAAACTAATATATGTATACAGAAGAGTAATTTTAGAAAAGTATTTTCTGTCGGTACGATTCGACTGTATTCTAAATTTGCAATTGCAATATGCAAACGCATGTCCATGTCAATCTAAAGCGAATCTAATCAATTATATCTGTCGCGCGACGCGGACATTTCAATTTATTGGCAGTATCGCCAGTTTAAATCTATAGAGTAACTGTGCTAATTCTTGCAATACCCAATTATTCCCTCAAGCACCAGCAGTTTTTTTAAATTAGAATTATCGGCATTGCGATTGATGATTACCATCCTTGCTTGTGGCTGATCGATGTCTTTATAAAATGATATAATCACATGTTCATGAATTCACATTTTAATAAATTACTAGTGTAGGCTACCTACATCTTGCCTTAGACCCGCATTAGCCGTTTTCCATATGTTGTTTAATCACACGTTATTATCAAAACGTATGATTTTGCTAAAAGTCTTTATGGGGAACCCAAAAAGTTTCTCTTGGTGTTTACTTTATTCACAATTTAGGTCGCCTTATTAACTCGTACGTTTTCATCGATCGCATCGTGAGGTCAGGCGAGGTAGAAGCTCTGATTCGGTTTTCTCAATGTTGCAGGTATTCTATTACAGATCTGCGCAGCATCAGAATCACTACGTACTGAGCTTCGCTTTCGCGTTCGACCGCGAAGACGACGTTTACCAATTCGTTCTGACGTATCCGTATTCCTACACGCGTTACATGGTACATCTCGACAACCTGTGCAGCAGACTACTGTACACGAGGAGAGAGACGCTGGCTGAGTCGATCCAAAAGAGGAATGTAGAGCTCGTGACTATAACCTCCGACCTCAAAGACACGGAACGACCTAGAAAAGTGGTCGTCGTCCTCGCTAGAGTTCACCCCGGCGAGTCGCCGTCCTCCTTCGTGTGTCAGGGTTTGATGGACTTCTTGGTCAGCGCGCATCCTATCGCTCAGGTTCTGAGAGAATACGTGATCTTCAAGATAGTGCCGATGCTGAACCCCGACGGTGTCTTTCTCGGGAATTACAGGTGAGACTAATTCCGACGTTCTAGCCGGAAAGAAATCAACATACACATATGTTTCGATAAATTAAAACTCAAATTGGAAAGCGAAGAAGCAATTTTACAAGCGAACGCGTCTTTCGGGAATCCTCTCTCGTCACGAATATTAAGAAGATAATGTACGATCGTTTTTACCGCGTTAAGATCTACCGTAATGGGATTAGATCTGAATCGATCCTGGAATTGCATCTCCGAATGGATTCACCCTACCCTGCTCGCGACTCGAGCGATGCTGAAGTCGCTCGATAAGAACTCGCGCACTCCATTGGACTGCGTTCTGGATTTACACGCTCACACCAACGCCACGGGCGTCTTCGTCTACGGTAATACGTACGAAGATGTCTACAGGTAATTCCAGTCCATTTCAAATAATGCTAAACGTTCCGTTAAGTTCAATTTGAAAGAATGTATTATTAGCCTACCGACACGCGAAACGAGAGAATAAGAATTTAACGTCAATCGCGCTCGTATCGTAATCTGACTCATGGCTGCCAGCCTCTCAGGTACGAGAGGCACATTGTCCTACCGAAATTGCTAGCTCAGCACGCGGAGGACTATGAACTGGGCAACACCATGTACAATCAGGACCACAACAAAGCCGGAACTGCCCGCCGTTATTTATGCTCCATCCTAAAGGAGCACGTCAACTGTTACAGCATCGAGGTCTCCATGCACGGTTACAACAAGAAGGGAATACCGGGTATAATGCCGTACACGGAAGACGGGTGTATCCTTCACGATCACGTTAATTACAGTCGCCGTCACATATAAAATTCCCACTAAAATGAAAACTCTGTGAATAACAGAGTTAAATTTTTTTTTTAAATCTTGTCAAGAGTTTTCGTATTAATGTTATACGTCGAAGTTTGAAGCAGGCATAGATTCCGCTAAATACTCAATTAGAGAAAGTTGAACCCTTAACGGTCAAAATCCAACAGATTACAGACTGGGTCGTAATCTGGCGCGAGTTTTTTTAGAATATTACAAGCTTACTGGGCTCATCCCGTCGGGGCTTCCCGATCAGCCATCGAGCAGACGAGCGCGTCAGTCTCGGCAGAGACATCGTCTTCCAAGGGAGCCCAGGCCGAGAACAGTCCGAACTCCGGCGACCTTGCACCTCGCCAGCATTTACGAGTAATTATTCTAACTGTTTCGCATGTAGACGCGTGGACCGCTCGGGGTGTCAAAATTCTCTCGTGCATCGTTTTATACTAGAGATAAAATTACGAACAAGGAATGTCGTTTCAATATCGATTTATCAATAATCTGCTCTCGAATACGATCGCGAACGGAGATGAAACAATTTAATGGCGCGCGACAAGATCGATGACGGCAGTTTTCTAGCAAAGACTTTCGTAGACGCAGAGGAAAGATCTCTCTTGGCGACACAAAAACGTTACTTTCAACTTTCGGGATAGAGCGCGCGCGCGTATTGTTTGTCGAGGAAAATTACAGTCGGCTAATCTCGGACCGAATCGTCAGGTACTTCCGGGAGGAATCTGAGCCGCTCCCGAGCGCTCGTTACCGATCGATGAGCGGTACGCGGATGGGACAGCAGCCCGGAACCGGAATCGCGAGTGAAACTGGAACGGGCGTCGGCGGCGGGAGCAAGAGCCCGAGCTACAGGTTCCGGAGCCCCGGGGCACCGCTCGACAGGGTGCAGACCCTGACGGGGCGACCCGCCGCCGAGCCGCGGCTCACCATTATCGATTTCAATCAGCTGACGCGGGGCGGTTTGGAGCTCGCGGCCAACAAGAACAGACCAACGGTACCATGTAAGAGGATCGTCAAGTCGCGCAGATAGCGATCGTCTCGCCTCGGTTAAGGAGAGATCCTTGGCGAACCGATCCACCACCGTCTCCGTCAAGGACGCGAAATTCAAAACTACCCGCCATCGTTGCGCCATTGTTGTCTCCTTACGTAAGAGAATCGCCTTCGTGACAACATTAAGCAACATCGGTTCACGTCAATGTGGTCGAGTAGATGAACCATTGCATCGATTCGCGCTACTTCTGTCGACGGAAATAGAAGACTTCTCGAAGAGAGAAGGAGCGCGAGGAGCGCACCTCGGATGCTGCTATATTCGCGTTTGTTATTAATTAAGAGACTTTCGCTTCTCTTGTACCGAGCGATTTTTAATTCCACGACATTAACGATAATAGTGCACGTTTATTTCCCAAATTGTGCAACGCTCATTCTTCCACGTAGATACTTCGAGCCTTCTCGCACACCATTTTCTCGCGAAGAAACAATCTCTAATCTTTACCTCACACTGCATGTTTCCAATTTCTATTATATACTTGTTAAACTTGTATAGTTGTTTATCATATCGTTGTCAATATTACGTGATTTATTAACATACACATTTCTATGTTCAAAGATAAAAATATATTAATAATAACGATAATAAAAATATACATACAAATATACTGAATATAAAATAAAACATATAGAGCATGCTGTCACATTAATACCATTTCCGAATTGCACCTAGAGCTTTCTACGTAAACTACATTTGTGCGGCACATAAAATTACGAACGTTGTTAAATATCGCGTTACGATGAAAACTTTTAGTACAATTTCATGTCGGTTTGTCCTATCGGGCAACTGAGAGAGAAAAAAAAAACTTTCTTCAAAACACACGCGTCCGATAGGCAATTCTTTTAGCTTGAAAAATTCTTGGCCAATTTTTCTCATCAAGAACCAATTTGATACGACAAGTCGTAATCGGGGCGGACGGTCGTAATTGATCAAGACACAAGGCCCTCTGGTTTCTCGGGGACACCGCGCATTTCTCGATCTCCGTCAGGCACACCGAACGCGATCGCACGTGGACGATCGACCATACGCTCCGGATGCATTTCGGGAACGGCCGCGGTGCGACCACCGCCGACACACCCACGAGAGAGAGATGAACAGTGATTGCATTGCACGTACCTGAGAGAATGCGACAATTACGTTTCCTAAAACTCAACGAACCCGCGCTCGAGGCACGCGCGCATTGGATGGACAGAAGACGCAGGTACTACGCGTACGGCCCGTTTACACCTGGCCGGATACGGACCTAAGGATACTCGGAGACTGGGCGCGGGTGTGTCCGTGCATTTAACGTACGGCGACGACGACGACGGCGACGGGAGAGTCAGTATTACTAATCGTGCTTGCAAATTCAACCACGAACAACGAACAAACGAATTTACCGTGTGCGTGTATATGTGTGGGTGTGTACGCGTGTACGTGGTACGTTGTGCGTGAGAGAGCGGGTCGGTGTCCCTGCGTGACTAAGATGTGCGTTTCCGTATATGTGTGTATGTGTGTGTGTATGTGTGGGGGTGTGTGTGTATATATATATATTTATATATATTATGTATGTATGTGGGTGTACGTGTGCCGATATGCGATTATATATTATACGTGTACATGTCAATCAATCGGAACTGAAGAGGAACTAAAACGGAAAGAAATGAAACTATAGCGAAAGAAGGGAGCAGACAAGCGGCCAGTAGCTCTTCTACCCCTGGGCTCGAGACGGAACTGGCCCGTGGGCCGCTCCGACGGGCTCGCGAGACCCCCGTCGACGTCGACGATCCCCGCGCGCCACCCCTCGCGTCGTTCCTCCCCGCCGCCGTCTATCGTAGCCCTCTTCTCTGCCCAACCACCGTCGCCGTCGCCCCCGCTCTCCCCGCCGCCCCCCCTCCCGCCCCCGCCGCCGTGAGTGCGTTTTCCTCCCCCTCCGTGCCCTGCCGTCCCGTGCATCCCCCTCGAGCCGGGCCAGGCACTTCGGGGTTGGACGAGAGCAGGGCGGTGGTCGTTGAACCAGGTATATAAACGACTGACGTCTGCGTCGTGCCGGTTGCGCAGCAGCAAAACCGCCCTTACGCGGCCGTGTCCTCGCTCCCCCATCCTCCCGCCCTCTCGTTCCTCCCTCGTTCGGTGCGCGGGGTTGCAACCCATGCACTCTGTCGCTACAGCGCAGCTCTTGGACGGTTCCCCAGGAGAAGCGACTAACCTCCGCGAACCCGGGCGATACGCGCGGCGAGGGGGAGGGGGAGGACAGAGGGACCGGAGGACGGGGAAGGGACGGGGGTTCGCAGGAAGCCGAAGGGGGATGGATCTGTGCAGCGGAGTCGACGTGTATGCGCGCCAGTGGATTAATATCGGAGCCGCGCTGGATTCGCCAGGGCCGAAATGATTTAATTCCGGCTTTTAATCCGGGCTTTTATCTGCGCCTCGATATCAGATTATACATCGTTCACGCTCCTTTTTCCCGCCGTTTCTTTCATACGCCGCCGCGGGAACGCCGCCAAGAAATCGGCCGACCGAGCTCCCTTAATCGTTTCCTCGCTCCTCTTTCTTGCAAAAATTAGGGGGGAGGGGGGTTATTGTCCCCGTGTGATACATTACTGTCACAACTGTCGATTAATCGCGCGATGCCTTACGCTTTTAATTTTCCGTTAAGAATTGCAAATTTGGTTTTGCTTCAACTCTTCGCCGTCGCTCTGATGCGTATTAAATCGCACCATAAATTGCAACCTTTCCATCCTATCTCATTCTTGTCCCGAACAGAAATGAAATATGATAATTTCCGCCGTCAGATGCTAAACGACATGTCGAAAGATTTCCGACATCAAACTATTAAATGCAAGGAATAACTAATGGATCTGTTAAATCGATTTCCTCAAGTTTCACATTGAGATTCACAATCAGAGGCAGAAACTTATGAACACCGTTCTATTAAATACGAGAATTCGTCGAAAGGAGAATTGACCTTGAAAAAATTAATTGTTATACGAAAGACTAATTTTTCCTTCTACCTTTCTATCGAAATATAACGATGAAAAAAAAATAAGAAAGAAGATATCTCTAGAAAAGGGAGAGGTAGGGTGAGAACAAATATCCATTAAAGAAAGGAAAAAAAAGCCGGACATGGTTCTTCGAGCTGTTTTTCTCTTAATGGATCTTTTTTTATACCTGATAATACTCTAACCAGCTTCATCACCCCTGGGGCGATCATTTTATCTGCTACAAGATTACGGATATGCTATCTTCGCATCTTATTGTTAGCATAAAGCTGCTAGTAAAATGAGGGTATTCAAGGAAAATTGAATTTTATATATATTATAATAATGAGATTTTCTTATTGTGACATTTTATTATTATCTTATTATTATGACGTTATTAAACAAAATTATTAACCAAGAAATTAAATTAGGCAATGTGAGCCAAACGCAGGTTGTTGTGCGTAAATATCTTTACTTACAAGATTAATGTGAATACAATACAGGAAAAACGTACGTTTCGGTCCATTTTTTGGACCATCTTCAGCGTAAAGAGAGAAAATTATTAACTGTAACATTTTAGCTTATGGAATACGTCCTCGCAATGCTCGAATTGATCAGGCGTTTCTTTTTCAACTTTTATTTGGAGTTGCTTGCATTAAATCGAAAGTGACTGTTCCCAGTTAAACATATTATTATACTGTATTATAGATTTATGTACAACGTACATGTACGTATAATATTTTGTATGTAAAATATACCTGTTATTATTGATTATTATTATATAAAATATATCTGTTATTATTTATTATAAATTATGTATACATAATTTATAATAAAGGGTCCAAATGCACGTAATTTCTTCATATACGGCATTTGTTATCATACATGTAAACAAAAAGAATACACTTATTACACATTGTATATTTTTTCCAGGTAAATATACATGAAAAATATTAATATTAACAGCAAACGTGATACGTGTAATTATTTAAAAGGTATGTATTTATTTAAATTCATATTTTCACAGCAATGCTCAACTTTAAGCAATGTGCTGCCATCTATCGTAATAGTCCGAGAATTTTCATTTGACTTTTCCATTGAGCTCTGTGCCATAGTATAACTATAGTAGATCTACTCCGTCATTTGTTTCGTTTTGCGTCGATATAAAGAAGAATAACCAATCCGAATTTTGACAAATGAAAAAAATCAAATTATTCTATAAGTACATCACCTTACTCCATCAAAGTGGTCAATGTTGACCACTTACCTCGTCGTATCCAGTCTTCCTCCATTGGGCCAGGTTGGACATACCTTTTGTTGCTTCTGGCCATACAGTCTGGTCATTTTGACCAGAGATCAAAAAGGAAGAAAACTCCTTCCATAGTGGGTTTATTATCGTCACCGACAGATATTTCGTACGGTTCGAATTATACACGAGCCTCGATTGTATCGAAATGCACGACCACGAGAAGTTAATTAAAAAAGAAAATTAAGTTAAAAAATTTGCTGTATAAAACTTACCAAATATATTTTTACTTACGTTATTTATTCGAGAATAGATAACGACTGTCTCTTCGTGACTCAACTTTTAAATTTGAAATTCAAGTATGTATGTATATAGAAAAAATTTACTTCGCATTATATTTATTTTAATTACATTCCGCCGCAACAAATTAAAATTTATAATATGGATGAAATTAAACAATTATTAATTTTTTGGAAATTTTTTGAAAAACTGATCGCGAAGACCGAACGCGAAGATACGAAAATGCGTATAACTATGATATGCATAGAAACTCAAGTCCATAATAATACTTCGATAAACCTTTGACTAGTCAAAGCGATAAACTGATCGGAGACTAATATGTTTTCAGTAGTATTGCATATACTCAAGAGATAGCAGCACTAATGGCGCTGAACAAAATGGCTGAAAGCTAAGTCACAGTATAACCACAGTATAACCAGTATGCCCACTCGCTCTTTTGTTTCACGTTCGCGCCGATCCGTACTGCGCATCCGACATGTTTGTATTATGACCAATCACAGGATTTTTGTACGTGTGTTAGTGCAAAGTCGGTGTGACATTGAAAAATTTGCAGTGTTGACGAATAACACGTTAATACTTTTATACGTTGGAGCAAGTAATTACATTAATTACTTTTATTAGAATATTTTTTCATAGGCCATTTCCATTTACAATAAATAATGTACACTAGTTCGTACGCGCCTTTCCTGGATACGATCTTGAAAAGGGCCCAGGACCCACTTTTAGCCGTTGATACACTGTTGGCGCTAATAAAAACATGGCGGAAAATTGTGAACGCCCAGATCAAAGGTGCCGACAGAGAGTGCCCATACTGGTTATACTGTGGTTATACTGTGGTTATACTGTGGCTAAGTCCCCTTCCCCACCAAGGCTTCAACCCCCCGGCCCTAACTCTCCGTCCTTCAAGTCCATGTAATAATTTGTAAATTTTAATTTGTATTGTCAGATCGCTTGAAAAGGATCAAGACCCATGGTCGAAACGTCGCGATGCTTTAACATTAAAATTGCCAGATACGGTCAACTAAATTTGATGTTATTTAATTAAAAATTATCTATTCTTTCATATTTAATAAATACTTAAATTAAAGCAATGCGTGTTTCAA